CGTATGGATGGGACCAGTCTGATATGCTTCAGAGATGTTCTCTGGGGGGGGCGGGGCCGGGCCGCCGAGTGGAGCGTCGGCCATCTTCGCTAGCTCCTGCATCGTGCCGCTAAAAAAGGCATTTTTCTTACCTCCAAAGCCCAACAGAACCCGGGAAAACGTGAGGTGTACAAGGAGGAACCCGCCTGATGCCAGGCAAAGCCGGTTGCTGGTCGATCGCAGCACGCTGCAGATACCGCACTGGGACATGCACCCAGGCCTAGCTGTGGACCCGCAGGACGGAGGTCCAATGAATCACAGGCACATACAAACCGCAAAGCAGACACACAGGAGGCAGCATTGCCAGGTGCACATGTTGAGGGGGGGCCCGGCCCCGCTCCCCCCCCGGGCCAGTGGGGGTTGTCCAGGCCCATGAGTCCCTGCTTCGGCGACACCCAAGGGGATCAGAAGGGGTCGGGAGTGCCGGCGGCCTCCCACCTTGTAAATGGAACAGCAACAAAAATTCACTGCAATGCTAGCATGTAAAGGGAGACTCACCTTCATAGAGCGGCTTCCCCGCATTGCTTCGATGGCCCCAACAGCTGCTGTCCTGCAGAGGGATACCCTGGGCGGCCTGCCCCCTGGAGAAGTACCAGTCCCTACCTTTGGGTTTCGGGGGTGGCCCAAGGAAGATTGTCCCTGCCGCAGTGAGTCCTGTGGGACGGGAACGCACAGACCTTTCCAGTGTACCGGTGGCCGTGAGGGAGGTGCCCCAGTCCTAAGTATGTGGCCGGCGCCAGGTGAGACATGAGGGTCCAAGTGCTTCACAGAGGCTGAAGTGGTGCTGGGGAGGTGCAGGAGATGGTCAGAACCTGGACTCTTGGTGTGGGGGGTCCGGGGGACAGATTTGGACTTTGAGTGCCCACGGCACCACAGAATGCTAAACCAGTGTGATTGGTCAGACCCAGGGAGGACTGATGGAGGACAGGCATGCTTGGAGGCCTATGGGGGCAACCACAGAGGTAGCTCACTTACAGTGCAATCGACACTGCTCTCCTTAACCTATTATGTGCAACGACACAGCGCAGCTTGTTCCTACTCCCCACGAAGTGACTCACTTTTTGCCTTCAATTACCTGCACTGCATAAGTAACCACTGTCTACATCAGATTGCATGTTATGTGATGAACATATTTTGTGATGAAATTGCAATTGCCTGTTTATGCATTTCTTCACTTACATTGCATATCACTACTAGCCTCTCATAATGTTATAGTTCTTACAATTGGTTTTCATTTCTTTTGCATTCATTGTTGTTGCAGGCTTATACTTCATTAGACGCAATTCAGAGACAAACGGCTATGACCTATCACAGCCTTATGATGCTTACTTAAAATATTGTAATAGGCGTGGAAACGCTGGTTATGCTGCAGTACCTATACGAGCTACAGTCTAGGGGTGTAAATCATTGCATACATAATCTTTCCCAGAATGGCAGCAAGCATTCATAGACCCAGATTAGGATACAGATATGTTCTCTTTGTAATGGCACAAGATGAGCTAAAACCAGCTTGAGTTCTGAGCGGGGACCCACCAAAGGGCAGGCTATTTTAGCTGCTGTCCGTTCTCAGAATACTCTTGCGACCCATTTTTTTGCTGTACCTGAACCAATTTTTTTTTTTTTTTGCTGTATTCAAACTTTTATTCAAGTCAACTTGACTTCAGTTGACTGGTTAGAAAACTGTAATAGTGAGTCTGATAACAAGGAATCAAATAGGAATGAATGCAGTCATGGTGATCAAAGATAAGGCTTTTGTTGATCATCAAATCTCAGAACTTTCTCTCATCCATAAACTTTTAGATAATTTTTGCAGCCATCGTTCACAAGTCTATCTGGCTGCATCCAGAACCCCCCTTTCATATCTGACTTAGCTCTGAACCCAAGCTGGACCAAATAAAAACTGGATATGCCAAGAGAAGCATTTGGGACAAGATAAAGTTTATCTCAGGAAATCATAGTAGTGCGGAGCCTTAAACACTGCCAATGCTGTTATTGTGAACTGAGCTTGCATGCTGCCATGATCTGACAGGGCCCTAGACAGTCCACCAGTTCCCCCCCCCTACTTCATGTGTCATATAGGGAGGGTGAATGGGGCCGTGCTTGGCCAAGTGTATTTATGGTTCTACCCAAGTCTATTTCCTGGGTACTAGGCAGCCACCTTATCATTCCTTATATTTAATCCAGCTAAGTGTTTTAACCAGAAAAACACTCTCTTCATCTGTTTATGAGAACACTGAGAATGGACAATCTCAAGTATCTTGCCCCTTGGTGATTCCCCGCTCACTTGTCATACAGGTTTTTTTTTAAATTTCTTTATTTTTGAGTCGACACTGAATGCGGCATAGCAAAATACAGCGGCTCACGCAGGGGCCGATTACAAGGCAGTTTTACTTGGCATACAACAGTGGTTAAATGTTTTATAGGTTAGAAGACATTGGTTTTTTGCCGCTCTGTGTCGGTTTCAATATTGGACGGCAGTTCTTGCCCGTACATAAAATACAAAAAACACAAAAAACAAAAAACACAACAGTGCAACACAATAAAGTAATATACAATAACCTCTGAGTGTTTAATACAGATTTCACAGCGCTTTCCAACCGACTCACATTGGGTACTGTGATCCTTGTTTGCAGGTAGCACGGTCCTCTAGGGCAAAAACATGCACAGTCCTTGTAATTGCAAATACTCCAGGCACTTTATTTGTAAGTTCAAACAGGATACAGCAGTAAATGAAAACAAATGTAACAGAAAACCCTATAAACAAAAACCTAGCTCGTCTGAGCACTAACTGACGTTAGGTTCCCTATCTCTCAGGGTTAAACTAAACAAAACAATATTACACCAACCTTATTAGAAAGCAACACTCTGCTAGCTAGCCTGTTGCTTTCCTTTCTGCACTCCCAGTGCTCCAAGCCAGCCTTGCCCTGACTGCTTCCTTTCTGCACTCCAAGTGCCTAGTCTCCTTGACTCTATCTGGAGAGAACAGCCTCTCTCTCCTACCTGCTTCCTGGGAGGAAGCCAGCAATCCCTCTCTACCTGCCTAGCAGGGAGGAGTTTATTCCCACTGCAACAGCTCATTAACTGCAGCTGTGCAGTGGGTTGGAGACAGTCCAAAAAACCCTGGCCTGGATCTATGTCTCCCCAGAAAACCACTAAACTGTGGAGTGGAGCATTGGCCCACCCTTCTCTCCAAATGCTCCACCCCAGGGGCCAATAACTAAACAGTGTTTTGTGTTGCCTACAACACATCCTACACATACTCCCCCTGGGGTTAAAAGGCCTATCTGCCTTCGCTTTATCACAGTACATAGAGTCTATTTCCGCTGTTCTGCGTGGAGCAGTACTGATTTGTGTGATGTCGGTTATGTGCTCTGGGCAATGTCGTGAATCCGTCGGCATCGTGTCATGGTGGGTTTGCTATCGTTTTAGAGTTGTGTCCGTCGATTACTGCCATGGTCGCCCCGTCCTATGGGCCATCCCAAGTCGGGGTCTGGTTTGGTCGCGGATAACTGTGCCCTGTCATATTTTCTTGTGGCCGTGGGGAGCTTCGTAGAGAAGCCCTAGTGATGGGTCGTGCGTTGTCAGTGGTCACTGTGCTGTACTTTTAAGCCGTTATACCAGTTTGTAGATGTAGTGTAACTTGTTGGTTTGGTGTTTGTGTGGGTTCTTCCTGGTGTCTGATTGGTAGTATTTTAGGGCTTTATATGTAGCGTTTACTGTCATCCCCCGATCTCCCTGTCTACAGGTGGAGGGAGGAGGGGGGGGAGCAGAGAAAAAAAAAAGGGGGGGGGGGGGGGAGGGATGGGGAACGCTGTTCGCTGGGGCGTGCGGCGGATCCAGGTGTCATACAGGTTTTAACTCACTTGTGCCAATACAGAGAGATCCTAAGCCAGTCACATATCAGACGGATCCTATCCACAAGGGCGGTCCAAATCAGAAATTCTGACTGCTTCTCTCTGCACAAGAGATACAGCAAACCTAGTTGGCTATTTTAGCCTTCTTAGGCTTCATCAGTGAGATGGAGCCAATACCCACCTAGACATAGAAAGCAAGAGAAACATATCTGAATTACCCTTCTGGTTTAGAGAGACTCTAGTCCTATGCAAATTATCCCAAAACATTTTTTTTGCGAGAACAGAAAAAAGTTTATGTAGCTTGACCTTCGGTGAGTATTCCATAGTAACTTAAATACTCAGACACTGTTCTTCATTTAAAAAAAACACAGTAGGCGGGGCAAAGCACCCAAGATGGCCAGACATCATTTTTTTTTTTTTGTCAATTTGTTTTTTATTTAAGGCATATGAGATGGGATACAGAAGAGAAAACAAGGGAAATGTACGAATGATTTACAGCATTGGTTTTAAGACATCAGTAATGTATCACATTTCTAGGTTGGTAATGCCTCATTTTTTTTTTTAACTAGAAAAAGTATGCGTTTGAACAGAAGCTTAACCTAAGTAGTTTAAGATTAGCTAAAATGACACCGCCTACATCTAAGCAAGTGAGGTACACAAGATGCTACGATGCTTAGTTAGTTAAGTTAGTGTGACTGTAATATACAAGTGTGTTGTGCCGTGTTTTTAGGCAGTCCGGTTATGAGACTAGTCAATTGAGACATATCAGTGAAACTCAGTACCGTTAGCGTGAATGCATGCATACAATGGTGACTGTATAGTCAGGCTAGTACATTTTGCCCACAGTGAAAGTGAGCTCAAAATAAACAGTGAGTAACAAAAGTGGTGTGACTCTGCGATTTTGTTATGTTTGTGTCGATGGACCTGTAGTGTTTTATGATTGCGTGCGTGGGGTTATGTGTAGACTTCCCTGCCTCATCTGTCGAGTTGGGCATCTTGGTGTGGTACGTTTGAGCTGAAGGGAGCGTATGTCTCTGTGAGATAGGGTGTTGATGGAGTGTGGAGGTGCTAATGGGTTGAATTGAATTTAGCCCCAGTTGCTTAACTACAAGAGGTGCTGCTCTGCTGGAGCGTGCAAGCGACCAAACTGCGAGGTGTGCCAGTCTTTGCCTGAGTGGCGAGGTGCTGGTAGTGTTGTGCGGGGCTCATGGGGCACGTCCTCGGGCGTACCGAGCGTGTTTGGGTGTGTGCTCTGCAGTGCAGCTTCTGGTTTGGTGAGTGTGTTCTAGGTCCTAGATGTAATTACTCCTGACCAAGGGAGTTGCGGGGGGGGTAGGAGGGGTGCTTTCATTGGTCCGCTACAAAGTGTGAGTGTATATGTAGGAGTAGTACCGTGTCCTGTCGATTTGAGGTGGGCTATGCAGTGCATCTAGTGTCGGTGGTTGCTAAATATTTGCAGGTTCTATCATGTAGATTACTGACTTAGAGGCAACATGTAAGCCTAGTCATTCACCATTGAAGGTTAAATAGGTCAGGCAAACATAAACAAACAAAAACCCTAACAAAAAAATAAAAAAACTCTTCGGTGGTTGTAGGATTTGCAAAGATTAATGCTTAAGTACTGAATATGCTTCCGCTGAGGGGGTTAGATGCCCTGCGTCAAACTGGTCTCCAGAGGCTGTCGCTGTTCTGTGATCTGGGAGCTCCCGGCCCGTGGGACAAAGGGAGTGATGCGTTCTGGGTCACATTTATCCGTGGTTGTTCTCCGAGGTGGAATAGCAGCAATTGGGATGTCCAGACCCAGTGTTTCTAGGAACGCGGGTGCGCGTAGTTCCTTCGAAAGCCAGTGGTGTTTTCCTTTTGAGAGCTGCCATGAGTTGTATTTTGTCTTGTACTGTTGGACACTTTAGTATCACGTCTCGGGCCATGTTTGTTGGTGCCCTGGTGGATGAGGTTAAGCGATAGATCTCTGCTGTGGCTAGTTTTTTTGCTGTAGCTGGAGGCAAGATTGTGGCCAGGAGGCGTCTGGAGAAGTGTGGTAGTTCGTTTATGTTATTTTTATGTTAGTGCGCCTTTGCTGCTCCTCCAGAGCAGTGAGCTGTGCAGTCATGTCTCTTTGGTGTGTATAGATTTGCTGCACTGATTCTTGTAGCTCAGACAGGTGGTCCTGCAGGCTTTTGATGTGTTTTTCAGATGCCTGCACCCGATCGGTAACTGCTTTGATGTATTTTTTTAATGGGAGCAAGTTCTGCCGCCAGGATCTCGTGAAAGTCCGGCAGCAGGGTTTTTAGGTCCTGCCTGGTGATTGGGGCTGTGTCAGCTGGGTCATCCGGCAGTTTTGGGCACTCTGCTTGGGTGTCTGTGGAGGCCTCTGGGTCTGGGTGATGGGAGTGGGTGACGGGGCGCAGGGATTCAGCAGGGGCGGTTTTGGCCTGTGTGGGCCGTTGAGGCATGGCCCCGATATCCCTGCTCTCTGTGGCGTGTAGTGGTCGCAGGGAGCGACCTCCCATAGCTGGCATGTGTGCCGGTAAGTCTTTCGTGTTGGGGGCTGCCCTGTCCCACACTTGCCTTGCCGCTGTACCGCTCAGGATCGCCTCCAGGCCTGCATATGACAGCGTGGGGTAGGCCCCGGTTTTCTTTCTCCGCTTGGGCTGATGAGTGGCCACGAAGAACGGCATCTACCGCCAAAGGGTGGGTTAAGGGGTGTTGGTGCCAACTTTTTGTAGCTGGATGGGCCACTTGTAGCTTGATATTCCCTGGATTTATCGAGGTTTGTGGAGGAGCTTACAGGAATGGCGTCTCTCCAGGTTGATGGTCAAGCTCCGGTCGGACATCATTTTTTAGCTGCTCCTGCTAACCTGAACAAAAACCTGATAGCGGTGAGATGCGGCCGATCCCCCGACTCTAGGCTCGATCACCATTTTCAGCTACTCATAACCCTTTCCCCCCCCACATTGGACCGGCGGGGGATATCCCGGTCCCTGCTGAGTGTCTCCCTGCAAACAGCCAAGAGTGTGCCACACAGCTGATTCTACAGGGCTGCATGTGCGCAGCCAAGATGGCCTCCATACAAGTTCCTGATTTCTGGGCCTCCTATTAGGATTGAATCAAGCAGGCCTTTGCACACTTCTAGTCCCAGTTATGTGCCAAGCTTACAGACTGGGTGCAGAGACCAGTGGCAACAGATGTACCTCGACAGCCAAAGAAAGCACTTCAGTTGAGACCTACCCAGATTCACATTGCCGGAGTGCCACCACCTACCTGGGCCAAAGTCCAAACGGGGACATGTCCCCAGGCACAGCTTACACCCTCAGGCATCGTGCTCCCAAAATAGAAACCAGTTATCTGCAAGACGTTCCAAAGATTTTGCCCAGACCATTAACAGAGATCTGATACATGAGGAGCCAGTGCAGGACTGTATCCGGGACTCAGGGACTGTGGGGTATTGCTGGGGAGATGCAGCCCCTTAAATTGCTACTGGGAAGTCTGCATTTGTTGGTGGGCATAGGCTGTCCACCCCTCTCGATAGAAGGCTTAGGCCCCCTCTCTTTATAGGCCTCAAGGCCCAAGTGGAGCAAGGTTGTATATTCTTGTTCCTTAGCTCACCAATCTTGAGACTTATGTTACAGGGCATCTGCTTGCTCAATTTATCCTTGCTTTCCTTCCTTGAAAAAAAAAAAAACAATGGTACCATACCATGCTTATTATATCTTAGTTACACATGACCACTTAATAAGTATACTCTCATGCATACCTACCTTGTTTATCTTTTACACGCACACTTGTGCATAGTTAGCCTGTTGCAGTATCATTACGCTGAAATGAGGATACATCGATTAGTAGTTCACTCTCTAGTGATTTATCACAATGCTATATTCATGTTGTTTCACATATTAAGTCTTACTATTTGTGTACATTCCTGAGTTGACTCATGAATGCCTGTATTGTACCTTAACTACCTATTGTCTATATACCAGAAATTGTGCTAATATCTCGATATGTGTTTTACTTATCCTGCCTTTGCTATTGTGGCCAAAAAGACCTGTTTGTTAACTGAGCACAACATAAATAAAGCACATATGCCTGGATGAGTTATTCACTATCTGCTTTTCCATAAGTCTCTTTGTGTGGTATCATAGCGAGGGTAGGACTTATAAATGAAGCAATGGTTTGCAAATCACTACATTTTTCAAAACACTGTCAGGGTTATTTACGAACGTGAGAATTACCGGGAATTAAAAGATATTCAAAAGTGTATTTTAAATCTGGGCTAAAATAGCCAGGTTAGAGAAATTCTCCAAGTCATATATGTTTTGCTATTGGCAGTTTAGCTATTTTAGCCTTACATTTGAAATTACAATAATTCACCAGCAACTCTTCAGTAAATAATATAGGTGTAGAGACAGAGGAACATGTTGCACCATAACCCATGCAAGTAACATTGTTAGTAACAGTGCATGTTGTGTCCCTTTAAAATATAATTTCAATGATTGATAAATGTAATAGAGAAGTAACAAACAGTATAAGATCTGCTATTGTTACTATTAGAATAGGAATATATTACTTGAATATGGGGTAGAAGGTAGATTTCTCAGTATTACATTTTCTATTATTATTTCCATAGCACCAACATATTCCACAGTAATGTACAATTACAGAGTGTAGTTAATTAACAGCAACATCTTATAATGCAAATAGATAACTAGAAGGAGCTGAACATTTTATCCTGTTCAGTGCCGCAAATGTATGTCGGTGTCCATTTCAGTTTTTCTCAATCTATTTTTGTGAATGTAAAAGTGCTCTGTGCATAGAAATAGGCGCTTTAAAAGTAGGTGTTTGAAATGTCAATCTAAAAGCCGCTACAACACTCGTGTGGAATTCTATCTTATCCACCAAATCACAAATACTGTGCAGTTAAGAAGGTTGGATGGTGAAATCCACCAACAATCTCTGGAGTGGAGCGCTGAACAAAATACACGTACCCTTAGTTTATAACTTAGGGTAAAATCAGTCCAATATTATTGTTTATATTTCCACATGGACGAGCACCATATATTTTGGTTCTGTACAAGGACACTAAGATTGGGCAACCAAGATAACGAAAGACACAAATTCCCCATTCCAAAATGGCTAGTGGTGAACTTCCGGTTACGAGGATAAGGATACTGTGTCACTAACCCCTGTAAGGGAAAAAGATAAGTGACGCCAGGAAGGAAAATGGTGAAACAAGAAATGGAAGTGATGCGCCGAAAGGGGCAGCATGTCACTTCAGTTAGACGAGATGGTGAGTGAAATCAGCTAAGGGAACGACGCCCACACCTTCTGCAGCCACGATTGGTCACGGAACAACCAGCTGAACGAATCAGAAGACAGATAGTGATTTAAAGGAGGAGATGGAAGTGTACAGGAGAACTTCAATTGAGAAAACCCAGGGATAGGGTGAAACGCGTCTCGGATGAAAGAAGCTTTCATTTGGACACTTATTTTACTTGTTTTTATACATTTTTGTTTTATGTGTTAATAAATGTCTCCAATTGGATTTTAAGTCCTACTAGCTGTCTGCTCCATCTACCTCCAGTAAAGAAGGGTTACCCCCTTTTAGTGGGTTAAAATCTTTAATACCCAGAGCCAGGTTCTTTTGATTGGCTCTGGTTAAGGTGAGCAATATTCATTTGATTTATCTATTTCCACTATGTACCAGACATACTACACTAGAGGCAATTCTCTCTGTGTTCCCTTTTGAGTTTATAAGAAGAAACCAGATGTGGGAACAGTGTCACTTCAATACACCAAAGTGATTTGAGCCAATCCTACATTTGACTCCGTCTTTGTGAGTTTGTTTTGTTTATATTCACTTATCTATTTTAAGTATAATACATACTACACTATTAGATTTGTATTCTTTATTTTTCTCCTCATGTTCATATTGGACCAATTTTACCCTAAGTTATAAACTAAGGGTAAATGTATTTTATTCAGTGCTCCACTGAATGGTACACCTTCCACATCGGTGTTGTAGCAGCTTTTAGATTGACATTTCGGACACCTACTTTTTAAGCGCCTATTTCTATGCACAGAGCACTGCCCAGTCTCCCCACAGCGAATTAGGACCCCGGGGGTCATGTGATCGCTCAACAGTGTCTGTGTTGACAGGCAGTCTCCCTGCAAGTGTAAAATAAAAAAAATTAAAAATAAATGTTAATGTTAATTTAAAAATGTAATTATATATATATATATATATATATATAATATGTCATACTAAGTGTATTTTTATATTAATATAAAAATACACTTATAATCAAATTACACACACACACACACATATGTATATATATAATAACTATATATAAATATATATATTATAAAATACAAATAATAAGTAAATTAAAATAGATTTAAAAAACGTAAAAATAAATT